TCTATCAAAATGATATAAAGAAAATGATGATATCTATAATTACAGTTTGATCTTCTGGAGAGAAAAAATCGATATGATAATAAAGAATTCTCAAAACATGATTAATGAAAATGGCACATATACTTCCAGTCAGTTTTTTTTCATTTCATTATTTTTTGTATTGCGGATGATGTTATGATATCAACACTTCTGACCCAAACCTTGGACTTTTTAGTGGTAGTAAAAAAAATCATTATTTTTAGAACAGGATGACTTCCATGTAAAATATCCCCAAAAAAATGGCTAGGATTTTTAGATTTTGATTATTAAAGCTTAATTTTTATTGGAAATAAACATGATTCTCGAAATTAGAATGTAGACTGCACCCTCCTATGGATAAAATTGATTGGAAGTGTTTTCCAATAAAATATAGAATTTTCAGTGTCTTTTTTCAATGCTGATTCCGAAAATCATGCTTGTTTTTACTAACACTGAAAAAGTTCAATATCCTGTTGTGTTATCTCATATCGTATCGTCACATCTCTTTCAATCAAACCAAAGAAAAATTAACGGAGAGATGTAATCTATAGAAAAGATGCTACTTTCATTTGTTGACGAATATCTCTAAATATGATGTGCTTCAAAATGAGATTTATGATAAGTATACATTCTAAAAAGGAATAAAAACAATGTCTGGTTGACATAAATCAATATTATTTATTGAAAAGAAGAAAAGAGAGAAACAAAAAAAAATCTCTTCATAAAAAAAAAGTTTGTCTTCTTTTCTATACAATATCATAAACAATGTTACACAGAAAAAAAAAATACAATAAACAAAATCTGACATAAAATAGGAAGCGTTATATTTGATTATATACATAAAAAAACAAAGAACTATCGACAAATATCTGACATAGTAGAACCAGAATATCTTTTTTTCTTCAATATTATAGAACACGAAAAAGACTAGTAATTATATCTGATTGAAATCAATTATTATTTTATAGTGACTATTTTCGTTTTTAGATGTGTTGATGCTAAATTTGTATGTTTATCTGTTGATGTTAATTTCTTTTTATTGTCAATAACAGTATTTGGTTTAAGTTTTAATTTTGATAAAGGTGGTTTATTTGTTGATGTTGATGAACATGTTGATGATGTTGATCTGAAATTTATTTGTAATAAAGAAAAACAACAAAAAATACCTCACAGATATTCTTCAATCTTATTATACTAATACAAAATACGTACAATGAAAAATCTCTTGCTGATCACAGTTGTTCTCCAAAATAATCGATCACCAGAGAAGTGTTCCGTCTTATATTATTTCTGCATATCGGACAGGATTTTTTTAAAATTTAATATTATTATTATTTCAATCATTGATTTCACGGGCAAATAAGTCTGTTATACACATCCATTATATTTACAGCATATCTCAACGTACTATTATAGATCTTGACAAACTTACAAACACTAATATTGAATATTTCTTAAAGTTATGCCTTGATCAATTCACGCTTTTTTATGTGAACTATATGATGACTCACGGATCAATGCATTACTACCCATCATTTATGACATCTTAAATAGAAATTTTTATCTGTGCAACAATCAAAAACTACAATATTTAAAATACTCGCCAACGCATTCCAGCCATTCAAATTTCGAGAAAGACTTTGGAACAGTGTAAGTCTTGTCATTAATGCCATTTAGTGCAAGAGAGGAGAAACTGATTCTATTGATTCCGAGTGATTTTGGTCATTGGAATAGGGAAGAGAATTTACCGAAGAAAAAACAGCTAATTTCAAATGTTTTCATTGATTCTAATGTCACACAATCAACTTTTTTCCCCCTTGGTTCAGCATCTTTTCTCGTCATTATAGAACTCTGGGAAAAGAGTCTAACGTTTGTTGTTCTCGTACGAAATCTAAACGTCAACTTACTTATTTAAATTTGTAGTGACAGATGATGTTGAACATAGTGGCCCTCGTGTATTCGAAACTTTTTTATTCGATCTAAATTCAAATGGAACAAATATGAAAAAACAAAATAAAATATAATACTTTGATCGATTCGTTTCATTATTTGTACCTCTTGAAATCGTATTGTTAGTAGTTCGTGATCGATCAGCTAATAAAAGACAAAGAAGAAAAATTTAATTTTAAAATATGATTAATTTTCACTTGATATTTCTTTTATTGGCATTCGACCATTAGCTAAAGAAGATTTTGATGTTAATTGTTTCTAAAAAAAGGTTATATCAATAAAAATAATCAAATTTTCTTTTTATTATTTAATCGAACTTGTTGTTGAATATTTTTCATATTCTCAAGTTCTTCTTGAAGTTTTCTAAAAATAAACATATAGTTATTATGCATTTTATTTTAAATCATAAAAATTAATTTTATACTTTATGATTGTTTCATTTTCAATTAATTTATTATTCATTTCTTCTTTAATTAATTGATATTCAGCAACAATCTTAATAAATAAATAAAAAAGAATTTTTCTTTAGTTAAATTTTAATAAAAATTACTTTATCAAGTGTTTCTTTTTCTAATAATAACATCATATGATTATTTCGAAGATTATCAAGTTCGAGATTCTAAATATGAAATATATTAAACAAAAAAAAAAACACTAAAAACTTCATTTACAGTTTGAAAGAGTATTTGGTCTTTATCAGCCAACGATGTATTAAATTGTTCACGTTGTAAATTATGTTCTGAAATTATATTTTGAGATTAGTTTTATTTTACTTCATGTACTTACCTTGTATAAGTGTTTCAATTTCTTGTTGATGTTCTTGTTTTAATCTTTCAAATTCAGTTTCATGTGACTATAAGTCAAAAGTACATAAACTATTTCATTAATTTTCAAAATACAATACATCAACATTCATATTATTCAGTTTTATAATGTATTTTTGACTTCATATATTTTCAGAAGAGTAATTCAACACTGAAGACAGTGGAAGGGTACAGATCGGTTCATAGTCAGAAATCGGCGTTGCACTCGTGAGTATTTTTTTTTTGTTGACTGAGAAAAGAATAAGAAAACTTTAAACTCATTTGTATCCATAGTTCTTTCTTTCGAAGATCAAGTCAATCAAAAAAAAGAATGTCCTGCAGGGCGAAAAAAGTGCCTTTTGGTACAGATACAAATTTCGCTTTTGATGTTATTGAGATTTATATTATAGAAAGAAAATTCCAATCGAAAATACGGAATTAAACGCAATATTTTCTTTATACATTTAAATGTTAGATAGTTACTTTTTTCAATAAAACATATTCAAGTTGTAAATTGGCTTTTGCCTAAATATTAAATAAATCAATAGTGAAACATTTTTTTTCTTATAAATTAAATTTACTTCTTCTAAAATTTTATTTTCTTCTTTAAGATTTATTAAATCTTGATGAGCATCAATTTCTGAAAAAATAATAAAATTCTTGAAATTCAATTTCTTATTCTATTTTAGCTAACGTTTAATAAATTTATTCATCGGTGTACATCCACCTAATTTACGTTTATTATTATTTGTCGGTGTTCCAGTTACATTTAATACTGTTTGATTGATATTAACACCAGAAAAATTTTTACGTCTTGTTGAATATGCAAGTACTGGTTGTCGTCGTGATTTTATACTAAAATAAAATATGTCAATTTTCAAGAAAGAAACAAAAAAAAACAAACAGATACCTTGTATTCGGATCTGAATTTCTCGTTAAATCATCTTCATCAATAAGAATTGGTAAACGTGCAAGTGCTTCATTAAGTGCATCTTGATCCATTGGTCGGATAGGTCGATTATCATAATCTGAATAAGTATTTTCATCTTCTGAAGCATTTATCATTGGATCAAGATCCATTTTATTTTTTTTTTCGAAATTATAAATCTGAAGATAGTGAAAGAATATTTTTATTTATTTTAGCAAATATAATTTATATATTTAGATTATCTGACAAGAAATAAAAAGAATAATGAAATATTTAATTGCTAACAGTACGAAAATGATCATCATCTGTTGGTGAATAAATATGAACTTCGCCAGAAAGAAATTTCAATGCTTGTCTAAATAATATTTAATTTAATAAAAATTTCTGATTGAAATAGGGATGCACCAATTCCTAGTACATGATGTCAAAGGTAACATTCTTTCTCTTGACTAATAATGTGGTTCCTGTGAAGTGTTTATATTAATAATGACTGCTCCATCTGAAGTTGTAGTCAAAATTCATGAAATACAAACCAAAGGTTTCAGAATTAGTTGAATAGTTTCGTTCGATCAATTCCAACTGATTTTGAGACCTGTGTTTTGTATTAGACAAAGCCTATGAATAGATTCCGAAAGAGCATTCAAAACTGAGCACATGGTTTTTGTAATCAGGATTAAACCAATTTCCACTATTGAGAACCATCGGACTCCTAGCGATCGATCTCAATATCAGTTCAAATTGATCGAAAAATGCTATTTTGACTAATTCCAAAACTTTTATTTTGTATTTCATGAATTTCGACTACAGTTTCAAACATAACAATCATAGTTTATATAACCAATCTACAGTAACTATGCTGTTAATGAGGGAAAAAAAATCATATTTGATATCATGTTCCTAGATATCAGCATATCCGTACAATACAATAAAGAAAAATATTTTACTTGACTTGATTTTCATTAAATTGTTTACAAATTTCTGATACACTATAACCAGCCATTGATGTTCCAGTTTTTAAAAGATTAAGAACAGCATTTTGAACAAGTATAAAATCATTCGATATTGTTGATTATGAAGATTATTTCGACTAGGATTATTATTTTTGCCTTGTTTTCGAATATTTATACTCGTATGTATACATTCAATCGAATGAATAATTAATTCATTTAATAATTTCATTTTACTAACATGATGTGCTACAATATGAACTTTACTAGTAAAAGTTTTAACGTGACCAATTACTTTAATATAAGTTAAAGATTTTAATGGTTCACTGGAATAATCATCAATATGATATCTAGCTAAACACTATTATTGATTTCATGATTTAAACCCATAATCATACATATATTAAATTTTAGATATTTATAAACAAAACAATTATCCAATTCAGAATCTTTTGCATTGAGAATTGTTGCTATTGTACGTGTCAATACATCTTTAACTGTTAAATGCTATACTTTCAAGATATTCTTTAGATCAAACATAAATAAAATATAAGTTAAAAACAAACTTGAGCATTACCGCCATCATTTTCACCAGCAAATTTTTGTTGTTGAAAACCACTTCCACTTCTTTGTTCTAAAAGATGTTATGAACTCTTGTTTTAATCTATTTGTTTATTATTTCTTATCCCAGAGAACCATTGTTTTGATTGATTTAATTTGAAGAAAGAATGATAGTCAATGTTAATCAATTGAACACAACAATAATAGTCTTGTAATTAGCCAATCATTGTGTATTAATGTCCATTAGATGATAACTCTTTTCTATAGGTGCCGTTCACAGGTGGAAAATATAAGAAAAATGATTTAAAACAAATAATTAAATTTGAAAGTTCTGAACGTGAGAATTAAGACAGAAACATCTATCATTTATTGAATAAAACTAAGATTACATTGATCCCGAAGTCCAAGAACAAAAATTTTCCAAATTTTTAGTGAACAAAAGATCGAGACTTGCTTTAATAGATAAGAATTTCATGCAAACAAAAAAAAAAGAATTTAAAAACAAATCGCCTAGAAAGAAAAGACATGCAAATATCAATCTTTGTGTGTAGATAAATGATTGCAGAGCCCAGATTCTTGAATTGCCGGCAGGTTTCCGCCGAAAACGGCTCATTACAGCCTTGAAGCATAGTTAGCATAACATTCATTAGTCAACTTGAGAGGTCAATTTTTTTTTGAGACTATCTCTAATGTTTGTCTATGAATTAGTTTCAAGAAAAAAAAAGTGGGTTAATAATTTATTTTTATTGAAAAATAAACAAATACAACATTTGACATGAAAAAAAAAAGAAATACTCAAAGTTAATAAATCATTAAGTTGTTTATCTTATTCTTGTATTCTATTATTAAAATAAATTGATATAATTGGAAATCGAGAAAATTTTTGCTTTAATCTTGGTTGACTCCAAATATAAGTTAATGGATCTGTTATTGTTGCTAAAAATATAAATTGTCCGAAAAAATCAGCAAATTCTTCAAAATAACATTGAGTATATCCATATAATGGTCGTGTAAGACTTAAATCTATTAAAATCATAATTACCAATGGTAGACGACATAAGAAAAATGAAAGAAATATAATAAATGAATGTTTAGCTAAACGAAGATCTTTTCTATGCGTATCATTCATCAAAATATTTTGATGTCCTATAGAATTATTATGATTTCCATCAATAACAATTGGTATAATCATATTATTTTGATATTTTCTTAAAACAAAATACATTTTTCCATAGATAAAACCACTTATGAATGCAGCACCAATAATAGAAAATAAAAGAATAAACATTGTAGGATGAAATGATAAAGTAGATTGTCCAGAACATGTATTTGAAAAAGAATATGATATTGCTTGATAAATACCAACAATAACACCTATTAATAAACTTATACAAATCCAAATAATAATATTTTTTAAACGAACAAAATCTCGTTGTTGATGAGTAATAATAGTCATATTTAAATTTCCATTTCGTTTTACAATTGCACGTAAACGTTCATAAGCAATTGCTATAAAACCTAATGGTTGTATTACATTAAAACAAGACCGTACAGCCATAGTAAAACGACAAAAATTTATTATTATTTTATTATATTTCATAATATAATTTTGTTCTTGACAATTAATAATTGATATATTCAATGTTTTTATTAAAACAAATGTTTCTAATGGTGCACAAACAAATGCACGAAAACAATCTGTACAAAAAATTACAATAATAAGTAAATTTAAAGATGTATGGAATTGAGAATGAGAATAAAATTCTCGAAGAATAAATATTGTAAAAAAACCACCCATTAATAAACCCAAATACATTAATATAATTGAATTAATACGACAAAAATAAATTATTATTGATGTTATCATTTGGATAATTATATTCAATTAAGAAAATATAATCCTTTTTATCTTACGCATATTTTCGTAGATTCATCCTATTATAATAATATCAAAAATGTATTTTGTCAATCATGAAAAACATATTTAAAACAAGAGTCTATTGTCATCTACTTGAAAATATTACAGGTATTTATTTGTCAAAAAAAAAAAGAAATGGCACATTATCTACGCAAATATCACTCAAAGTAAGATGTTTAAATACAACATCAAAATTCTTTATAATTCATCAACGTCAAAGAGTCTAATAAATAAAGGATTATTTTAAATAAAATCTTGATCTCTACTTATACTATATATAACCAAAAAAAAAAAAAAACTAATAATGCTCTCTGAATAAAAATGAAACTTATTTCTTCTTTTGATCTATTCTTATATATTGACATTATTTGAATTAAATATTTGATTGTATTTTTAGAATAAATTATATACGTAGATATTCTTGTTTCTAAAGAAATAATTTCTTATATTTTTTAATGAAATAAAGAAAATGAAGTGCGTACTAAATTAAGAATCTAGCGAGTGACGTAGGATAAATAGTGATCTCAGTAGTTTGCTAATATCTGAATTAGTTTTCATCATTTAAATTTTATATCTCTCTTTTCCAAAGATTTACAGTGTCATTTTGCATAAAATGTAATTATTGATTTAACTAAGATATTTTTTCTTCATTTAGAGAACAGAACTTAAATGAAAAGAGACATAATACGTTATCACTTCATTCTAAGAAATAATGTACTGTCAGTAATTATTTAGACTGAATTAATTACCAGAATAAATTTTCAACACATCATAACGGAAAACTGTAAAGCTTTAAGAATAAAAACAAAAAATAGAACAAAATGATGATTTGGAAAATTTTATGTTATAACTTTCTTTATGTAAATTCAATTCTTCAAATAGAGAAAAATATCTTCGTTGAGAAAATGATACAGCAGACCTTATGAAAAAGAGATGCAGCCTAAGCGATGAAAATTTACTAAAATATCTGAGACTGCCCTTTATTCTACATCACTAGTTAATTTTTCACATGCTATAATTTCTGTTAACTTCTAAAAATAAAAATAAAATATATCAAAAGCAATATTCCCATGTTAGACAGTACACATATTTCTTATGCATCTAATTTTCGACTATAAATACGAAAATCATCAATACTACTCGGAAATTGATAAGCAATAAACCAATTCAACTACCTATCAAAGCAATTCACAGTACATACAGAACGTTTTGGTTTTATGTTGCCGAATATAACAAAAAGTACAAATAAGCTGTTAGATAAATAATCATAAATACGACTAACAAAGTTCACTTTGACATTGATAATAAGATGTACATCATTTATTAACTTATAAACAAGAGTAAAATGTGTCAATGTATCACTATCCATTTAATATAAGAAGATGAGCAATTGTGAAATAGATAATTCGAGAACGCTAAAGGTTGCTGGGATGGAATGTTCACCGTTGTATAGTTATGTCTGAGCCATGTCGAACTATAGCAGAAAAACTTTTTTCAATAGAGTTTGTAAATAGTTTTCAGGTTGATCCTTAGTCAACTAGCGATGTTAGTTTCCAAATCTAAAACCATCCAAAGTCAAATTTCCAATCAGTAGCTTTTCAGCTACACAGTAATAACAGTTGAGATTGCAAAAATTTTGATCGTATGATTTCAGATCGTTTTCGAATTGTAAACAAACATCGCTAGCTGATTAAAGACGGTCGATGACCACTATCTTGATGTATTGTGGGATGATTCAAGGACAGGAGGCTGAAATCGAAAATGTCAGGAAAATCCTTGTAGTTTTTCAATGAAAGATAACTTTGCAAGCAACTTCTTCTATCAAATACACGCCTTAATAATGAACGTTCTATATTGAGTTCATGAAGTGCATCTCTAAAGATCAACTTGAAAACTCTTTACAAACCCAATCCAAAAACAGTTTTGTGTAACACGATCTGAAAGGAGTGTTGAAGTGTTTAAGGGTAGAAATTTGGACCCATCACAGATCATGACAGACAGGGTGTGGAGTGTGAGTATCGGTGTGGGTCTTACTCTTCTATCCATCCATACCCACACTCACACCCACACTCCATTTGAAAAAATTTCTATAGAATACAAAAATACTACATATCATTATGTATTTAGTTTTCAATTAAACTGATTATTTAAATGATGAAAAATATCATAATATGATGTTGATGTCGAACAATATTTTTTTTATCTAAGATATATTTGATAATCTCTCAGTCTCGAATATAATTTGAATGTCCTGAAATAAAAACCAGATCTGTTTATTGAAACACTAGCGAGAACTCATGCATACTGCATGGCTGGTTTCTCCTTTAACGTATGACTTCAGACGTTTAACTTTTCATTGGATAACAGGCATACAGATACGCGATATCATGTATATGGATCAAAAGCTTACGGCCTCATACTCTTACATCCGTGGGCAAGTCTTTTCCTCCACCTCTTTCTTTCGGCAAAGCTTTGTCTACAATTATAAGGACAAAACATGATGTTGTTAGGGCCATTTAAAAGAGAACCCGAATAACCACTATTTTGTCCGTATAAAACCATGTTTTGTCCTTGTGATAGCAGAGAAAACCTTGCCAAAAAAAGAGATGGAGGGAAAGGCTTTTGCCCGCAGGTGTATATCACATAAACGTTTTCAGTTCATGTAGCCTAATGTCCCTATAGCCTTATATCCCTTGTACCTCTTGTAGCCTCATCGCTTTATTCTCTTACACCCTTCACAGCCTATGGGTACCCTATAGGACAACCCTTGAGGATCCATGGGCGCCTTCATATAATAGCTCTTACGTACTTAGAATAGATCAAGTTTACCATGCAAAGAACGAAACACAAGAAACTAACAAACTGAGAGTGTCCTTTTTGTCAGACGATTAACTACATATAAACAAAACTAATGCCCATTTCAAAAAAAAAGGCGAGTGGATATTTTTTGAATAACTTTTGATAGGAACAAGATAGAGAGCTGCGGTTTTTACTGTTGGAAAGAGACCTACCCAGCGCATCGATCCATATAAAATTGTTGGGATTTATTTCATAAATAAGTAGTGATATCCAATCATCTTGGAAGAGCAGACTGTTGCTCTATAAAGTTAGAACAAATCTTAAACTTTGAGGAGTAGACTAGAATCGCCACCTGACGAGCTACAAAACTATATATAAGGCTATGATTCAAAGCTTTACTGCTTTGGAAGTTCTAAGTATTATATTCGACAATCCTAGTCCGCTTTGCCAGCAATTTCTATAGAAAAACTCAATTTTTTGGGTTTTTTTCGTTTTTTCCTGGAAAACTGATACTTGTTTTCAAGACATTTCTTTGTGTAACTATTGCAAAAAGTTTCAAAAGTCCAAGTTAAAAGTCATTGTCTTATATAGTTCGATGCGTTTTCATCTGCTCTTTCCAACGGTGAAAATCGCAGTTTTTTACCATGTTCCTATCAAAAGTTATTCAAAAAAATACCCACTCGCCTTTTTTTTTTTGAAATGGGCATTAGTCCTCTTTAGGGGTGTAACGGTGACGATAACCATACCTACGATTACCGTAGTTAGACCGATAACATTACCTACGGTTATCGGCTCGGACCGGTGAATGATCGTCACTGTTGCATCCCTAATCATCTTATGTTTTGTCTATAATATTCATCAAAATGAAATTGATGCTAACTATTTTAGTAATCAATAGAATTTTCATAAATGTAATTCATTGAATTCGAATCAATTAATTATGAATAGGTATTTCTTGTTAATGAAAATCTTTCTTACTGATGAAAAAGATCATTATAATTTTGATTATTTGTTTGTTTGTTTTTCTTTTCAATGCATTTGAAAGAACAACAATAGTTTGAATATATGAATTGATATTGTCATGTCATAAATATATCTTGATCGTATATCAGATGATTGTTCTTATTATAAAAGAATATTTTTTGTATTTAAATAAAATAACTCTACTTTCTATGAATATGAATAAAGTAAAGAATTACATATAAATCAATAACGAACAAGAAGATGATAAATTGTTCGACATTTTGGCTTATTTAAAAGAAGAAAAGAAATTTTGTTTCTCTTGTTCAATAATCAGTAGTTTTTTTTTTTCAGAAGCAGTTAATTGATTATTCAAAGAGCTTTTGCACAAGAATTATTCATATACTTATAATAGAAATTAATGTGTTCGTTTGGACGATTCTTTTTTTTTTTCTTCTTTATGTTCTATATCATCTTTAAATGATGCGGAATTCCAGATTTTCTCGAATCGCGTACAATTCGTGCCTATAAAATTGCTTCTTACTAGTTACTTTTTGTATAATCCTCAAAACCCTATTGTCAGATTGTATTACTTGGAATAACCATCCTCAGTACGGAAGCGACTCATGAATAATATATCAGTTCATTCAAAATTCAAACGGTCCTGAAGGACTAGGAACGGAGCTACTAAAGCGATCATGTATTGCACACATACGAGAGAAGTAAACGTATTGCAATAACGGTAGATCTGGATCAAAATATCTCTGGCGATCCATTTGCATACCTAAGCCATTTATCGATTATACATCATTCAATAACGCTTGCCACTCCCATTATTAGCGTACCACTTATGACTAATTTATAGGCTAGGATGAAGTATTCAAGGTATTCCCCATCTGAAACTCTGTCGTATGTGTTGTTTCAAACTTTCCCGACCTCTCGGGTTTGAACACCTGAATCAGTTTCACATCTATTATACACCACTCGACAGAGCTCATGGAAATATATCAAATGAGCTAGGTTTCATAAGTGGCTCAGCTCGCTGAGGGAATCGTCAGATGAAATACGGATTGTAAAACTGGTTTCCAATTTTTCACGAATCCTAATCACTGCGATTTCTTGTTATTTGAAAGAAAAACATACCAATCGATAGAGCTCGTCGAGCTGCATCGAATAAGCGAAGTATCAGA